GCCACATTCCAAGGTTAATTTAAACCTCAGATCTTACCCAAAAGAGCACGCTGTGCCAATTCTTTAGAATCAAAAGGGTTATTAATAGAAGAAAGAAAGAAAAGGTTGAGAATAAAATTGTTAAAGGAATCAACTTACATACATCAATGGCAAGGTTCTTGGTGCAGGACTGTAGCAGAGATGGAATAAACTGCTGTCTTAAAACATTCCAAGGTTAATTTAAACCTCAGATCTTACCCAAAAGAGCACGCTGTGCCAATTCTTTAGAATCAAAAGGGTTATTAATAGAAGAAAGAAAGAAAAGGTTGAGAATAAAATTGTTAAAGGAATCAACTTACATACATCAATGGCAAGGTTCTTGGTGCAGGACTGTAGCAGAGATGGAATAAACTGCTGTCTTAAAACAAGTCTCTGGAATACATCCTCTGTTAGGATGGATCGTCAGTCCTTCCCAGTCATAGCAGAGATCCTTCAGAGGAAATTAGTCAGATTGAAGACAGGATACAAAACAAAAATTGAGGAACCCCCAGGACCCGCTCTATACTCTCTAGCCCTTGTGGAAGGAATTCCATTGTTCACTTTGTAAGAAAGTATGTCCCAACATGGAGTTTGTCACATGAGCAAGTCACCTGTCTAGTCCTTTTTGGGCAGCAGCCGTTGCTTACATGCTGGTCAGAAGGTTCACAGCAAAGCTCATCTTTGCTGTGAACAAGTGGATCAGAAGTGGTTTGGCACCATCTGAGGTGCATTGTCCATCAAGTACTCCTATTTATTTGACTAGCAACCCTTTCACAATAGGTTTGCCAACCCTTCTGCTGATATCTCACATAGCCAATACTCATAACTTCAAATACAAAAACGATGCATGCATATTAATAGTATAAACACTATCAGTGAATCACAGGCTTTCGATAGACACCTTACTTGGTTCACTTTGTATTAGCGATGTAAAATCATCGTTAAAATCAGTTAACCAGCTAAATGATAGGTTAACCTAACATTTATTCAGTTAACCGACTAAATGGGGTGGCAGGGGTGACTGCTTCAACTTGGCTTCGAGCCCTCAACAGAGCAGCCCCTGTCTGGAAGGCTGGGTTCCCTGCAGACAGAGGCTGCTCCAGATGCCAGAGCAGCTCCTGCCTCTGGGGTGCCTGGACCTTCCGGGGACAGGGACTACTTTGAATGTTTGCATCAGGCAGGGAGCTGCTTCAGCCCCCACGGGTTACGGTTAACCCAGGGGTGGGCAAAAGAGCCTCTTCTGGCTGGATCCGGCCTGCCAAGCGAGTTGATCCGGCCTGCGGAGGCCTTGCTGCTCCCTCCGCCCCCAGGCCAATCAGGGCCTGCGGGCAGGGGGAAGTGAGCGAAATCTCCTCCCACCCTACCCCTGCCCTGCAAGGAGTGCGCAGCACTTAGAAGCACCACACGCTCCCCACCCCCAGGCCAATCAGGGTCTGTGGGTGGGGAAGCATGGAAGTGCCTTGGCCCTGCCCCTTCCCTCTGAGGCAGCCCAGGGCCACTTCAAAAATCTCTGAAGTTGCCTCCAAACTAAAATTATTGCCCACCCCTGGCTTAGCCTTTCATATCCCTACTTTGTACAAGATTCGATGAAAACATGTAACTGGTTGCAACAATGTTTTGTATGTTCTTATTACAATCCAATAATGCCACACCATGTTTACTTTCATCTCCCTTGTATTTTGGAAACTTTTTGTTATGTGTTCCTCTGTTAATTGGTGTATTTTACCTTTTGCTTTTGCAGGCAATGCACTTGGTATATAGAGCTCTTGAGAAGGAGCCAGTTCCCTCAGCATTACCTCCCACACTTATACCACCTTCCAAAAGAAAGAAGACGCCAGTTTTTCCTGGTGCTGTTCCTGTTCTTCCTGCAAGTCCTCCACCTAAAGATAGCCTTCGTTCTACCCCATCCCATGGTAGTGTAAACAGCCTGAATAGCACAGGAAGCTTGTCACCCAAACACAGCATAAAGCAAACACAGGTACAAGTCTCATGGCAATTTTTATATCCTTTATAGTGAACTGCAAAAAAATTAAATTATTTTTTTGCTGGATCAAACATAAGAACAGCCATACCGGACCAAAGGTCAATTTAGCCAATATCTTGTCTTCCAACAGTGGTCAATGCCAGGTGCCCCAGAGGGCTTTAACAGAATAGATAATCATCAAATGATACCTCTCCTGTCATCCATTTCCAGCCTCTGACAAAGAGAGGTTAGGGACACCATTTCTATCCATCTTTGCTAATAAGTGTTGATGGACCTAACCTCCATGAACTTATCTAGTTCTTTTCTGAATGCTGTTAAAGTCCTGGTCTTCGCAACATCCTCTAGCAAGGAGTTCCATAGGTTGACTAAGTGCTGCATGAAGAAAAACTTCCTTTTGTTTTAAACCTTTTACCTATTAATTTCATTTGGTGACCCCTAGTTCTTATGTTATGGGAACAAGTAAATAAATTTTTCTTATTCATTTTTTCCACACCAGTCATGATTTTATAGACTTCTGTCTTATCCCCCCTTAGTCTCCTCTTTTGTAAGCTGAAAAGTCCCAGTGTTTTTAATCTCTCTTCATATGAAACCCATTCCAAACCCCTGTCATTTTTGTTGCCCTTTTCTGAACCTTTTCTAATGCCAATCTATCTTTTTTTGAGATGAGGTGATCACATCTGTATGCAGTATTCAAGATGTGGGTGTACCATGGATTTATATAGAGGATCAGAATGCAGGACAATGTAGCACTTTAAAGACTAACAAGATGGTTTATTAGATGATGAGCTTTCGTGGGCCAGACCCACTTCCTCAGATCAAATAGTGGAAGAAAGTAGTCACAACCATATATACCAAAGGATACAATTTAAAAAAATGAACAAATATGAAAAGGACAAATCACATTGCAGAACAGAAGGAGGATGCGGGGGGGTGGGAAGGGGGAGGAAGGAAGGTAAGTGTCTGTGAATTGATGATATTAGAGGTAGGGAGAGTGGGATGTTTGTGAGTTAATGGTATTACAGGTGATAAGATCACTTTTCTTACGTAGGAGAGCACTTTTTTGTTTTGAAAATAAATGTGTTTCATGGGATGTGAGGAGAGCTGAATGTTAAAAGGTGAATTCTCTTTTAGAATGAATCTTACTAGCATGAACAGTTGCTTGGGCTCATAAGAGGGAGTTTGTCCCTACCATAGCCCTAGCAGCAGTATAGAGATGAATCTGCACCCAGGACTCCTGTATGTATCTTCTGAGCACTGTCAATAAGCATACCAGTCTGGGGTATTAGTCTAGTATATATTTGAGAGAGTCTGTATGCCTGCTCAGGAACTCCTCCTAAGTGGTAAGAGCCAGGATGATCAAATTTGATATGCAGCTTCCTTTTATAACTTGAAGCTAGGGTAAGGGTTTGACTGTGCCAGGACAATGGAATGTGCCTGGAGTGAGATTTTTCTCATAAAATGGAAAGGGAGGGCTCTGTTAGCAGGGACAGTTATACTGTATAATGCCCACAGGGGGGCAGAAAGGAGCCAGAGATGGGAACCAGGACAGCTCTAACTCCATTGGGCCAGCAGGGAACAAGAGGTAGCAAAAGGGACAGCTATCTACTATGTATTTGAGTGTCTCTGTCCGTCTCCCCCCCCCCCCCCCCCCCGCACCTCCGCCCCCCGTAGTTGATAACATTTTTATTGACTACATGATTAGTTGATAAAGAAAAGCTTCCTCAGTCCCAGCTCACACTGGGTCCGGGAGCTACCCCTGCTGCACCTCTGCAGTTTAAATATCTAGGCTTATTGGGTAGTCAGCTACTCGCTTACATCCCTAATACACCCCTCACCTGGCTGTACCTGCTGCATTGGCCATGGACAGGCACTTCTCACCTGGCCCCAAGCTGATGTGATGAGAGGACTGTGGTAGTCCTCTTTTCCTGGGGCAGCCTGGACACTGAACCTCTCATCCCCAACCTCACCCCAGAGCAATGATTTAAATTAACAAAAACAACAATTGTTTGAGTTAAGGATGTGAGCAATGCCAAGTAAATCTTCTAGTAAGTCTCTATGTGAGTAGAAAGCACGTACTCATATTATGAACATTCTGTTTCTCAGTTTTTGTTATATGTTACTGAAGGGAAGGGAAATGTTAGTGGGTTGATCCTATAATATATTATGCACCCTTCAATTTCTGTGGACATATACATAACGCTGAGTACTGTCAATGTGAGTCCTCAGGGTATTAATTAAGGTTGTAATTGATTTTGTTTTTCAGCCATCTGTGAATTGGGTGGTACCAATGTCTGATAAGTCGCGATACGATGAAATTTTCTTAAAAACCGATATGGACATGGATGGCTATGTAAGTGGCCAAGAAGTGAAGGATATTTTTATACACTCAGGCCTGTCTCAGAATCTTCTAGCACACATATGGTAAGGATTCATCATTGGTTGTTTTGATTTTGCTTCAGTTTGATTGTTTTTCTGCTAGTTGACTCTAGGAAATAGCATTTCTCATCCAGAAATGTGTTGCTAACAATGCTCTTGTTAGCTGCCACTGCTATTCTTTTTCATATATGTAGTGCTGCTGCTTTTACTATAATATCCCAACACAATTGTATGCATTTGTAAGTAAAGAGAAATTCATAAATTCTCTCAAGGAGAGCAGCAAAATACATTTTCTTCCTTTCCTCTAATATTCAGATTAAAGCTGTTTATTTGATGGGGTAAGGAGCCCTATGGATGAAGGTGAATCAGATGTGAGATATCTTGATTTTAGTAAGGCTTTTGATACTATCTCACATAACCATCTCATAAATAAATTAGAGAAATGTAGCTTGAATGAACTTATTATAAGATGGGTGCGTGAGTGGCTGGAAAACCATACTCAGAGTGGTTATCAGTTGTTTACACTCAAGCCAGAAGTGCATATTGAGGGGGCTGAAGAGATCTGTGTCCAGTCCTGTTCAGTGTTTTCATAAAGGATTTGAATAATGGCAAAGAGAGCATATCTACTAAGTTTGTGGACAGTATCAATCTGGGAGAGGTTGTAAATGCTTTGGAGGACAGAATTAGAATTAAAAATTATCTTAACAAACTGGAGTAATGATCTGAATTAAATACGATCAAATTTAGTAAGGACAAGTGCAAACTACTGTACTTTCAAAGAAATAATGAACTGCACAAATACAAAATGGGAAATATGACCAGCTAGACAGGAGTACTGCTGAAAAGGATCTGGGAGTTGTAGTGGATCACAAACTAAATATGAGTCAACAATGAAATACTGTTGCAGAAAAAGGAAAAGTCGCTCTCAGATGTGTTAGAAGGGGTGTTGAGAGCAAGATATGAGAAGTAATTATTCTAGTCTACTTCGCATTGATTGGGCTTCAGATGAAGTATTGTGTCTAGTTCTAAAAACCATACTTTGGGAAGGATGTGAACAGACTGGAGGAAGTCCAGAGGAGAACAACAAAAATTATTAAATGTCTAGAAAATACGTTGTAGGAGAAAAGATTGAAAAAATTGGGTTTGCTTAGACTGGAAAAGAGAAGACTGAGGAGAGACATAACAGTCCTCTTGGTTGTTATAAAAGTGGGATAAATTGTTCTTAACTGCGGACATGACAAGAAGTAATGGACTTAAATTGTAGCAAAGGAGATGTTAACTGGAAAGCATTCCAGTAAGCATGTGGCTTACCAATATACTTACCAGTTAACCAGCCCTTGCCAGTGAACTCTGGCAGCAGCCAGCCACGTCAGGCCAGAGCAGTCACGGCCATGGAGGTGCTGGCGGAACCCCATGACCAGGGCCAAGGAAGGGCTGGACAGTGGGCCACCTGACGGGACCCTAAATTAAAATGGTTAACCTTTTTAACATTCCTAAAAGGAGATTTACGTTAGACATTAGGAAAAACTTCCTAACTATAAGGAGTAGTTAAATGCTGGAACAGGTTATTCAGGGGAGTTATGTACTCTCTGTTGTTGGAAGTTTTTAAGAACTGGTTAGACAAACACTTATGAGGGATGATCTAGATGATACTTAGTCCTGCCAGCATTAAACGGCCTATAACGGTCCCTTCCTGGTCTATATTTCTATGATACTATGATTCTACTTGCGAAGCACTGGAGAAATCCATGAAACTGAAAACATACCTCTGCTTATCGTATCTCTGTATTGATAGCATAACGCAGTCAGTATTCCTATTATGTAAACTATTCCATGAATGGGGAAAACTTTTAACAGTTCTATAACTCAGCTGGCTAAAAGGTCAAAGGCATTTTTTCCAGGAAAACATAAGAACAAAACAATGTTTAATTCAGTTAAGTGCATCTAATAAAACATTCATAGTTCAGCATGTAAAACTTTTCCACTTGGGAAATGGGCTCTGAGGCCAAAACAACAATAAAATTCTATGTATTTGTATCTCAGATTTCATTATAATAATAATAATAGTTGTTTGGTTTATAACAATTTCGACTTATGATAAGAATAACCAATTTCTAACAGGGCATTGGCAGATACAAGACAGATGGGAAAGCTAAGCAAAGATCAGTTTGCACTAGCCATGTATTTCATTCAGCAGAAGGTCAGTAAAGGGATTGATCCTCCACAGGTGTTGTCCCCAGATATGATCCCTCCTGCAGAGAGAAATACTCCCATACAAGTAAGTAATTGGTTATTAATAAATATATTGTTCTACTAGATCAATAGCTGCTTTGAAAGTAACTAGTTTTGAGAGCTGTTATTTATTTATAGTTTGTAATATTCTATTGCTTTAACTTACAAGAAGTTTGTCTACTATTTAGAACTGATTTTCAGATTTCAGAAAATGCTTCATGAATTGGTTATAAATTGCAAACATTCATATTAAAGAAGTTGTCCATTGCACAGGTAGCATTCATAAATATGAGACCAGTTTCACAATTACCAGAGGAAATCTTTACTTGCGCCTGGAATTATTCCAGTTTAAATGTTTTGTTAAAACATGTATCTTTCACCACAAAAGTGGTGGTGACATTTTGACTTTTTTATCAATCATTGTCATGAAGGTATGCATGATGATAGCAGAACTCTGCCATACTTAGCAAGCTTAAGTATATGGGAGTTGCTCTTCATAAAGTATATCTCTTCCTTTTACTCTTAACCTTTTATCCAGCATTTTAATTTTTCATTCACTCTTGTTGCCATTGATCCTTGTGCTATTAGATACATAAAGGGCATGTCTTCACTACTGGATGGATTCACAGGGCAGTGATCCAGTGGGGGTCAATTTATCATGTTTACTATAGACATGATAAATTGACCACTGCTTACTCTGGTACTCTGCCTTAATGAGAAATGCAAGGGAAGTTAACAGGAGAGTGCCTTCAGTCGACACACTGCAGTAAGTAGATCTAAAGTAGCTGAAGTACATCAAATTCAGCTACGTTATTCACAGAACTGAAATTGTATAACTTAGCTCAATATCATTGATAGTGCAGACCAGCCCAATGAGTAACATTTTCACAAGTGACTTAGGTGTTTAAATGTCATTGAAACTTGAGATCTAAATATTTTAATTTTTTTGAACTTCAGAAAAAAAATTAAGATTTCTGACCTTTGTGAACAGGACAATATTTTTTAACTTCATAAAATGTTTTAGGATTGCTGGCCTTTCTTTGTAAATCAATACAATATGAAAAGTTATACTAATAGAGAAAATATTTGGATCATTTCCAAACTTTGGAGACTGAAGGAAGACTGATAAGAAGGAGGAAGGGGAGAGAAAGTAGGAGCAAAATGAAAAGACAAGTTAAGCAAGTAATCAAGGGCAAAAGTTTTGCTGTCAGGACTGAGAGGGAAAGAATATAGCTTGTAGGCATTGTAGAGGAAGAAGTGGCATAATTAGGACACAGTGTAGATTTTGCAAAATCAGAGGAAGAGGAGAAGTTGAAGATATATACCAGGTTGCAAGACTGAGCATAAAAAAAGATAGTGGCATAGAAAACAGTGAGAGAGAACAGATGATTGGTGGAAGTGCTTTGTAGTAACAACAGTTAGATTTGTCCCCATAACATTTAACAGAGACACATCTGGCAGATGTCATTAGAAACAGATCAAGAGATGGGATTGGAGGAAGGTGGGTATTTCAGTAGCACCTTCAAGCGATAGAGACCTTGACCCAATTTTGATAGGTACTATACACACACACACAGTATAAAGATAATATCAGAGGGGTAGCTGTGTTAGTGTGGATCTGCAAAAGCGGTAAGGAGTCCTGTAGCACCTTATAGACTAACGATGTATTGGAGCATAAGCTTTCGTGGGCAAAGACCCACTTTATCAGATGTATGTACTGGAAATATCCAGAGGCAGGTATAAATATGCAGGCTAAAGATAATGAGGTTAATTCAGTCAGGGAGGATGAGGCCCACTTCTAGCAGCTGATCTGGAGGTGTGAATACCAAGAGAGGAGAAGCTGCTTTTGTAATTAGCTAGCCATTCTCCATCTTTGCTTAATCCTAAGCTGATGGTGCCAAACTTGCAGATGAACTGTAGCTCAGCAGTTTCTCTTTGAAGTCTGGTCTTGAAGTTTTTTTGCTGCAGGATGGCTACCTTTAGATCTGCTATTGTATGTCCAGGGAGGCTGAAGTGTTCCCCTACAGGTTTTTGTATATTGCCATTCCTATTATCTGATTTGTGTCCATTTATTCTTTTACGAAGGGACTGTCAAGTTTGGCCGATGTATATAGCAGAGGGGCATTGTTGGCACATGATGGCGTATATTACATTGGTAGATGTGCAGGTGAATGAACCAGTGTTGGTGTGGCTGATCTGGTTAGGTCCTGTGATAGTGTTGCTGGTGTAGATATGTGGGCAGAATTGGCACCAAGGTTTGTTGCATGGATTGGTTCCTGAGTTAGAGTTACTATGGTGCGGTGTATAGTTGCTGGTGAGAATATGCTTCAGGTTGGCAGGTTGTCTGTGGGTGAGAACTGGCCTGCTTCCCAAGGCTTGTGAAAGTGAGGGATCATTGTCCAGTATGTGTTGTAGATCACTGATGATGTGTTGGAGAGGTTTTAGCTGAGGACTGTAGGTGATGGCCAGTGGTGTTCTGTTGGTTTCTTTCCTGGGCTTGTCCCGCAGCAGGAGGCTACTGGGTACACGTCTGGCTCTGTTAATCTGTTTCCTTACTTCCTCATCTGGGTATCGTAGTTTCAAGAATGCTTGGTGAAGATCTTGTAGGTGTTGGTCTCTGTCTGAGGGGTTGGAGCAAATGCGGTTGTACCTCAGGGCTTGGCTGTAGACAATGGATCGTGTGGTGTGTCCGGGATGGAAGCTGGAGGCATGAAGGTAGGCATCATGGTTGATAGGTTTTCATATAGGGTGGTGTTTATGTGACCGTCAGTTATTTGCACTATGGTGTCCAGGAAGTGGACCTCCCATGTAGACTGGTCCAGGCTGAGGTTGATGGTGGTGTGGAAGCTGTTGAAATCGTGGTGGAATTCTTCCAGAGTTTCTTTCCCATGGGTCCAGATGATGAAGATGTCATCAGTGTAGTGTAGGTAGAGAAGGGGCATGAGTAGATGAGAGCTGAGGAAGTGTTGTTCTGGGTCAGCCATAAAAATGTTGGCATATTGTGGGGTCATGTGGGTGCCCATAGTGGTGCCACTGGTCTGGAGGTATATATTATCACAAATATGAAATAATTGTGTGAGAGGATAAAGTCACAGAGCTCAGCCACCAGCTGTGCTGTGGCATCATCAGGGATACTGTTCCTGACAGCTTGTAGTCCATCTATGTGTGGGATGTTTGTGTAGAGAGCCTCTACATCCAAGGGGGCTAGGATGGTGTTTTCTGGAAGTTTTCTCAGGAAATCAGTGGTATCATGGAGATAGCTGGGAGTGCTGGTGGCGTAGGGTCTGAGTAGAGAGTGCTCATATCCAGACATTCCTTCAGTGAGAGTGCCAATGCCTGAGATGATAGGGCGTCCAGGATTTCCAGGTTTGTGAATCTTAGGTAGTAGATAGAATAAAGATAGTCCCTTCTCCAAAAGAGCTTACAATCTTAACATACAACGAGGGACTGTAAATGGAAAAAATAAAAAATAAACATTTGGGGCGCGGGGGAATGATTGTTAAAAAGTTGGTTCTGTAGAACCTCAGTTTAGTAATTGTACCAGCACCAGTGATACAAACCATTTTTCTCATCCTATGTACAGGCAGTCCCCGGGTTACGTACAAGATAGGGACTGTAGGTTTGTTCTTAAGTTGAATCTGTATGTAAGTCGGAACTGGCGTCCAGATTCAGCCGCTGCTGAAACTGATCAGTTTCAACAGTGGCTGAATCTGCAGAGCCAAGCCGCGGAGCGCGTGGGCAGCGGATAACCCTGTCCGCTGCCCGCGGG